TCTTTCATTTTAAAGGTATATGAAAGAAACATTTAAAATTTTTCTTTAAAAAAAGGCCTTTTTATTTTTTAAAATATCTTTATTTTATTTTGCCAGTGAGTCAGTGTATCTAAAAGAAAAGTTTCCATTCCAAAGCCTAAACCATTGTTTAGGCTACTCCACATATCTGGAACAGAATCTCTCTTCCTGTTATTAAGTTCATCTCCCTTTCATTCTTGAAAGTCGGATTCAAAATATACATCTCAGCGGTCACTGATGACATTTTCCACTATTCTCTCTTTTAAAATGCTGCTGTTTCTGATTATATTCTCCTTGAAACTCTCTCCTCTCTTGCTTCCATAATAGTATACTGTCCTCATCCTTTTTCTGCTTATCTGACTCCTCTTTTTCTTTTGCCAACTAGAGTATCTTTCTAAATGTGGCCACTCTCCAACGTTTGGTGCCCTGAATGTTTCTTCTCTATAGACTCTCCCTCATTTATTCTCTCAGTATCAGACATTATCTCTGTGCTAACAGCTATCAAATATTTCTCCTCAATTCTGTTCTTTCGCCAAAGCTCTGGTTACACAACTTCAGCATTTACTGCATATTTCTAAATGGATGCTCACTATAACCACACACTTAATAATTAAAACACCACTTATCATTATTCTTCTTAAATGGGCTTTGCCTTCCAATTTCTATTCCATTCAATGGCATGAATGAATATCACAATCTTCCTGTTTAGAAAGATGAGAATCCCCATGGCTCATCCCCTTTGTGTCAGAATAGACTAAGGGGATGTAGTGTGGCTCTGGATCAGACAGACTTAAATTTAATCCCACGATTGCCATTACTTATTGTGTGATCTTGGATTTGTTACTTACTCTCTGAGCCTAGACTCTCATGTGTAAAACGGGATTAACAATACCTATTTCACAGGGTTGTAGGTCAAATAACCTATACTGCATACAGGACATAGTAGGCAAGCAATAGCTTCTCTTGTATCCAGTCAGCAAACTTTGCCCATTCTTCCTTTGAAGGTCTCTCACATGTCTCCTTACTCCCAATTCTAACTCTTAGTCATATCTGGATTACCCTAATCACCTCTTAGTAGTCTGCCTTAAATCTAGACACTTCAATCCATCTTTCATACTGTTGTCAAAGTAATCTTCTTAAAATATATATTTATCAAGTCATAGTCTTATTAATAAAATCTTCAACAGCTCCCTACTCCCTAACAATCAAGGCCTGTTCAGTTTCCAAGGCTGTTCAAACGCTATCAGTTCAAACCTATTTCCCATCTCTTCCTATCACACATAGCCTCTGGGTAAATTGGCTTCCTTATTGTCCTACACACACACCAAGATCTTTCCCACCACCCTGCTGTGGCTCAGGTTGTTCCTTCCGTCTGCTCTCACTGATAGTCCCCTTTCCTGACCACTGGCAATATTTAAAATCTGTATCAAGCACAACTTACTTATGCCGTATACTGGTTTTCATTTCCCTCTATTGCTTAACCTACTTTAATCCTCGTTCCCCACTTTGAGAATCTGTGGTTTATTATTGAAGATTCCTCTGTCTACTACAGCGTATCACTATGTAACCAAGCAGACAAAAAATTTCAGGTGGATTAAAAGAAAGGGAAAAAAAGAGAATTACTATTAGATGTTCTGATTTAACATATTTGAGTATTTAAAAGTTTAAAGACTTGTATTGTTTGTTATTGTTTATGTTGTATAAGTTTTTAGCAGCCCAACTAGAGTGGATGCTTCTTGAAAATAAAGACAAATGATTAACTTTTTCTGTATTCTCATAAAACATCTAGCACATCATTAGCCACTTAATCTAATCAATAATGATTTCTGATTATATCATATAAATGACAAAGTTCTTTAGAGTAAAAACCTTAATACATCTTTGCTTTGAATACAGAGAACAAGGATTTTTAAGGCAAAGTATATATCTATCCTCCACAGGGAAATTTTCTCTAATTCAAATATTCCTTCCTTCCCTCCCTCCCACTGTCTTCTCCTAGTTAAGAACTCTACTATAGTAAGCCACTGTGATTGTCAAGCCTATGTCACAGTATTCAGCAGGTAAAGACAAAAAGTTTTAGAAAATGAGACAACATGGTTCTAATCAAGATCAGAGGTAAAATAATTTTCAGCATCATCTATGGACAAAATCCTCAAATACGCCTACCATAATCAGCCGGTGTATAATTCAGAAGTTCAAATTTCCAGTGTTTATAGCTTGAATAATTCTGGTACATGTCAAATATTTCCCGGGTAAATTGTTGGCAGATATCACCTAAAATAAAATACAAAAAATATTTAGTCAGCACAAATTTCTAAGAGAGCCATTCTTACGTACAGGCCCCTTAGGAAATGAGGAGTAGCTAATTCCAAAGTGCTAACAAATTTTTAAAGTTACAGTGTGTCAAATCAATGTAAAATATAAGTATTTTTTTAGATCATTTACAACAAAATTATTTTACTGACCTCCAGTTGTTCTTCCAGATGTCACCTCTAAAATAACATCATTTTTGTCATATTTCTCCTTTGGCACTAGACTCTGGAAAAGCTGAAAAAAAAAATCAGCATTAGTGTCTATATATTTTCCATGGTATACTATTATTACTCAATAGATTGAGAAACCTCCAGACATTAAAAAATCAGTAATTAACAAAATCATATAGCATCCCAATGAGGTCTAGTCCTAAAATACTGTAATAAATAGACCTTATTAGACCTAAAATAAGCGATCAATTCATGTTAACAATGAAGGTTCTTGTCAGGATATTCTCTACAATGCTATCAGATTATCTTAATTGTCTAAAATGCTTAAGTTTAGATCAAAGTCCAGAGTGTTCCATTCCATTTTCTTCAGATTTTGCCCTTATAATTAGTTCTGGACAGTAGCTTCTTTCATCTAGATGAATGAAGTAAAGCTTTGAAAGTCTTCATTTGGAGAAAATGAGGACTCTTTACATATGATTGCATGTTCTCTCTTGCCACAAATGACAGCGGACATCAGGCCATGCCCTGTCTTCTCAGGAGAGTTGCTCTGTTTAAAGAGTATGTTGAGGACTCCCAAGATAAGGCTCAAATAGTTTCTCAGCCACGACAAGAAAAAAGGGGGCTTCCTAACAAAGAAAGTAACCAACTTTCCTCTTAGGAAGAAATGAGAAGTAATTTTATTTTTATTATTACTAAAAGGCCTTTCAAGTCAAACTAAAAGTGCCTACGTGTCATGACTCTCCCCACTGCCAATTTTTGAAATAATCCATCTTTGCTAGAAATGACATAGTCTGTGGGAGAGAATATTAGACTAAGAGTCAGACATTTTACTTCTACGTTTGATTAGCTGGTTAAGTCAATGATAACAAAAACTGATACCTCCACCTCATCCCCCTCAACCCCTTAACAAGACCCTCTACTGGATTCCCAGAGTAGGGAAGAGTGAAGGCAGGAGGATGGCAAGTAGGACAGAGGGTAACATGGTATATAGTACTGTGTTTTCCATTGTCTTTTAGACAAATCATTCATTAAGCTAGGAGTTAAAGACTTGTGTTAACCAATTATCTCTATATCCTTGAATTCATCCCAATTTATCCAGAATGCAAATTTTCAGTCCTTAATTAACATAATCACCATGAACGACTCCCCCTTTCTAATACTTAAAGCCCCCTAACTCTTTTCCAATGGTGAACTACATTTCTTCACCAGCATGTGTTCCCCTGCCTGGCAAGTTAGTAGATTCAGCTTTGGAATATTATTGCTCTGGGGGGAGGGAGGAATTTGTTTTATTCTTTGACATCACAATTTCTTCAATCTCATTCTGTAGCAAATTACAGCACTAAATCCAGCTTAATCGCTTATCGTAAGAGAAGACTTAAGAAACTGGTGTTCGCAAAGTACTTTGAGCACCAAAGCATAGTCTAGCAAGAAGAGTATTCCTTTCTATTAACACTATTGAGATTAGTTTACCTCCTAAACATACCTCTCTGTATAACATGCTGATTTTTTGAGCAATGGTTTGCCTTTCCTCCAATACAAGCTCTTGTAACTGCTTTTCATCTTGTTTATTTAGGCCTACAAACAAGCAATAGAAATATTGGTAAAAGTTTTAAAATACTTACAGAGAAACTCTTAAAAAACTACCTAATCTCTGCCTACTAAGTTTCATTTCAGTTGTGAAGGCAAAGGATTATACGAAAGAATAGTTAGAATCATTAGAGAACGTCAATTAAGTATTTGTGAAGAATGTCCAAAAAACTCAGTGTGAAAAGAAATACGATCTTGCCCCAAAGAACTTGTGATTAAATGTCTATAAGTAGGGGCCGGCCCCGTGGCATAGCGGTTAAGTATGTGTGGTCTGCTGCAGGCAGCCTGGGTTCAGATCCCGGGTACGCACCAATGCACCGCTTGTCAGGCCATGCTGTGGCGGCGTCCCATATAAAGTGGAGGAAGATGGGCACGGATGTTAGCTCAGGGCCAGTCTTCCTCAGCAAACAGAGGAAGATTGGCGTGGATGTTAGCTCAGGGCTGATCTTCCTCACACACACAAAAAAAAGTGTCTATAAGTAATTACAGAAATCAGTGATTAATCAAACAGGTTTAATAAGGTAAGTCTCAGAGTAAACTGGGGTGATCACTTATCTAAAGGTGGCAGCCATTACTCAGCACACTGTGAGTAATCTAGCATGGCTAGAGCCTCAATTTCCTTAACATTTTGAAATTTCTTGAAATGTTCATACCTAATAAGCATTTTTCAAAAACATTGTGTGGGTCAAACAAAACACATCTTTGTAAGCTCTGCTTTATGGAAACTATGGTCCTTTTCACATCATTTCAAACACAGAAAGTTAAATCATGGAATTCTAACAAAATAAACTAACACTGAATGACCAAGCATGGTGGATCCCATAACCTTTGACTCCATGCTCTAGATGCCCTAGAGACTTCATTTGTCAGTGGTGATGCTTGCAAAGTGAGGTAGAAATTTTTGATTCTTAATAATAACAAAGAGGAAAAGAGAAATGAAGAATCAATTGTAAGAGAGAAGGCTCTTTACAATTCTTCTCTAGTCATAGAAGTCATTAGGGTCTGGTGAGATTCTGTGCCTCATTCATGCTTTCAACATTTAACACTTATATGTGCCAGATACTCAGCTAGTTCCTGGGGACACAAGGAAGAATAAAACATAATTCCAGGCTTCAAGTGGCTCAGGCTGGTGGGAAAAACTGACACATACACACAATTACAATACGTAATAAGGGCAGTGCCACGGAGGGGGTCTAACCCAGACCTCAGCACTTAAGGAAGGCTTCCTGGATAAGGCACTGTCTGAACTAAAATCTAATTATAGATCATCTGTTGCTGAATTGTAACGTCACTACCGGCCCCACATTGTGCACACACTCCACAAATGGAAACCAGGCTGACATCACTCAATATAGATATCTGTTTGGTCAAAGGTTATCAGAAAAATCTTCTGATTTGCAATCATATAAAATTATTTTTGTGGCCTCTTATTATTTACTAAACTGTAAAATCCAACCTAATTCAATTTCATTATATCAACAAAGATTCGATAACCTATTATATCCTATGTTCGGTGCTGCAGGAGATATAAAAATGATGACACAGGCCCTGTCCTTGAGGAACAGACAATGGGGGAAGGGGCTGAGGTTGAGACAACTACACAAAGGATAAGAATACAAAAGAGGCAAGTAACCATACTTGTTTCACAGAGGGGATTGAAACTAAAGTATGGCATCCAAGCCATCCTTTGTAAGGGGACTGAATTTTAACAAGGTGAAATTTGTGGTAACAATGTGAACAAAGACATAGATATGGGATGGCATGGGTATATTCAGGGAAAGGCAAGTTGTCTATTTTGGTTGGAAGAGAGAATATGCAAAGGGAATTAATAAACTACACAGAGCCACTGGCGTCACTCTGCAGAGGCTCTTTTTTTTGTGTGTGAGGAGGATCAGCCTTGAGCTAACATTTGTTGCCAATCCTCCTCTTTTTGCTGAGGAAGACTGGCCCTCGGCTTACATGCGTGCCCATCTCCCTCCACTTTATGTGGGACGCCACCACAGCATGGCCTGACAAGCGGTGCATCAGTGTGCGCCCGGAATCCAAACCCGGACTGCCACAGTGGAGCACGTGCACTTAAGCGCTATGTCATCAGGCTGACCCCTGCAGAGGCTCTTAAATGCCAAACCAAGAAATCCATGTTTATAGGCAATGGGAGCTACTGAAATTTTGAGCAGGGGAGTAATATGATTAAGGTTGTACTTCGACTGGGAAAGCCTGCAGGTGGGATGACAAGTCAGGAATTCATTGTAATCATCTAGGATGAGATATAATGAAGATATACATCAGTGGAAAAAATAGAAGGGGACTCATGCAAGATACATTACAGAGGTAGATTCTATTGGACTTCGAATTATTGTGCAGTGGGTAACAACAGAGGCTGTGGAGTCTCCTTGATTGGGTTCAAATCCTCGCTCCTCTCCTGACTGGCTAAGCGACCTTTGGCATTTTAACCTCCCAGTTTCTCCATCTATAAAATGGGGATATGAATAATAATTCCGACCTCATAAGGTTATTATGAACATTCAAATGAGATAATATTTGCAAAATACTTAGCTTAGTGCCTGGCAAATGGTAAGACTTACTAAATGTAGCTATTATCACTTTTATTATAGAATAGGAGAATTGTAGACCTAGAGGAGACTTCAGAAACAATATAATCCAATTTACTAATATTACACATGATACAACCAAGGCTGAAAGAGATTATGTCAATATAATTTGGAAAGCATTTAGTAAGCTCCTGTTACGTGTAAGCAACTTTCCCAAAACTAATTACTTACAAATTTGAGTGGCATTATGAAAAGATTAAAAAATAATCCTCATTAAACGTAGGTGAAAGACTCGTGGTGCCACTAATAGAAGGCAGGAAAATGATGTCCTTGGACATCAAGGACTTTACAGGTCTTGACAGTGCTTAACATCTAAGGCTTAAGGAAACAGGATGGAGCACAGAAGAAAGTTTAGAAACTAAAAGCCAATCACAAAATCTGGATAAATGTTGAACCCTGTATTAGTCTATTGTACTTTTCTCTCAACTTCTGTATATTTTGAAAAATTTTCCTAAGAGAAAGAATGTTAAGGTAATAGCAATATTAAGAAATACTACAATTAAAAATAAACACCCCTCACATTATATATAAAATTAACTAAAATAGATCAAAGACCTAAATGTAAGGGCTAAAAATATGAAACTCTTGGAAGAAAACATAGATGTAAACCTTTGCAACCTTGGATTATGCAACAGTTTCTTAGATATAACACCCAAAACACAAGCAACAAAAGAAAAAAAGATAAATTTAACATCATCAAAATTAAAAACTGTGGTGCTTTAAAGGAGAACCCACAAAGTGGGAGAAAATTTTTGTAAATCATATATCTGATGAGGAACTTGTATCTATAATATAAAGAACTATTACGACTCAATAAAAAAAGACAACTCAACTAAAAAATGGGCAGAGGATCTAAATAGTCATTTATCCAAAGATGGTATACAAATAGCCAACAGGCACATGAAAAGATGCTCAATATCATTAATCAGGGAAGTACAAGTCAACACCACAATAAGATACCACTTCATAGCCTCTAGGATGGCTAGAATCCAAAGGGCATATAACAAGGTTTGGTGAGGATGTGGAGAATTGGAACCCTCATATACCGGAGGTGGAATGTAAAATGGTGCAGCCGCTTTGGAAAACAGTCTGGCAGTTCCTCAAAAGGTTAAAGAGTTACCATATGACTCAGCAATCTATGTCCACAGAAAAACTTGTACACAAATGTTCACAACAACATTGTTCATAATAACCAAAAAAGTGGAAATAACGCAATATCTATTAACTGATGAATGGATAAATAAAATGTGGTATATCCATACAACAGAATATAATTCAGCAATAAAAAAGCAATGAAGTACAGATACATGCTACAACATAGATGAACCTTAGAAACATTATGCTAAGTGAAAGAAGCCAGTCACAAAGGACAATATATTATGATTCCATTTATATAAAATGCCTCACATAAGTAAATCTATAGCAACAGAAAGTTGATTAGTGGTTGCCTAGGGCTAGAAGGGAAGGGGAGATTGCGACAAGATGGCTGAAGGGTGCAGAGTTTCTTTTTGGAGTGATGAAATAATACCTAGACCATATAAGCCCTTTGATAGGGTAGGAACTGTATTTTTGTGTCCCTGGTGTCTGGCACTGTAGGACAGTGCTCAATAAAGCCCTGTTCAATAAATTAAAGCTTCTGAAAAGGTCAATATTCAGTCTCCCACACCCTGAGAACTTCTTGACAAGCACCACGAGGAGCTTGGTCTCTTAGTAGTTGATCTTTAGTAGCTGAAATACTTCAAACACCCAGGGTACAGAGTCCTGTTCTTTCCAAGTGTAGAGCTTATTACTTGTAAGCTTTTTAAAAGACTGAGTTCAATAAAGCTTTAACTTAGAAAATCAGTCCTGTACTTGCAGACACACACATATCTTTTACCTACTTTTACACATTGATTCTAATTCTTCAATTGCTTGTTCAGCCTCCTTAATTTCTTGGTAAATGGCTGCAAGTGGTGCCAACTCAGCACGCCTTCGATTCAAGGACCTTCGGTCTCCTTCAGTCACAGAGAGAGGCTCCAAACACTGATCAAGTGTTTGGTACTCCTTATTCAGGCCTTCCATATATTTCTGTAGTGCTTTATGCTTCCAGAGCATCCTGGTGTCTTGATGACAATATCTCCTAAACCAATTCTTATTTAATAGATGATGGAGAATGTGATTTCTATTTTGTCTAAAACCCCACAGTCTTGTATCAAGATGTATCTGTGTAAACTGATAAGAATGGGCCTGGATGCGGCACTGGTGGTGACCATTAAGAGACGGATGTCTAAAAAGCCAAACACACAGGTGACGATTCATCTCAGCATCTGAAATATAATAAACACAATCTGAAAAAAATCAACTTTACAGATATAAAAGCTGGAAGGAGTCTCAAGAAATCTTGCTCAGTTCACTGTTTCAGCCAGCTCCAAACACGGTCCCAAAATTCAATAACCCACAAAAAGAAAATAATTCTTCAAACCTCTGAACATAACATATTAAAATAAATGAAGATAGCACTGTTTTCCACCCACTCAACATATATAATTAAGGCAAATCAGTAGGAGTGTAACTAATAAATATACAAATAGAATGGGTTAAATCAGGTATTATCTAGAAAGTATCCAGAATCTAGAACTGAGTGTAGGAACGAGCACTTGAAAGGTATGAAATAATCACGCAGACTTTAGGTGGTTCACACATTAATAGATTTCTACAAAGTTTGAAGGAAATATTAACTATTTTCTTGTCTAATTCTTTAAGTATCCAGATATCCAAGGACGTCAAGTAACTTAATCATGATTATTCACTCAGCTGGACAGAGGCAGGGCTGATACCAGAATGCAGGTTGCCTGTTCAGGACTCAGTGCTTTTCATTTTCAATTTTGCAATCACTCTTCAAAGGTGCTTCCCTTTTAGCTGAGATCCTCAAAGAATACTTCAAATATTAACAGACTAAGAAAGTAGGAGGTCTGGTAAAAAAGGACAATGGCGATAATTATATTAAATGAAAAGAGCAGAATAGAAAACATAACCTCAGTTAGGTTTTAAGAATTCTCTACAATATATGGAACACACACAAAAAAGGTACAGAGTATTTTGAAAAAAGAAAACTAAAAAAGAATTATACCAATATGTTAATAAGATGATCTCTAGTTGTGGGGTTATGGATACCTTTTGCTTGCTTTCTATTTTTCCTACTTTTTAGTGTTTTCCAAGTCTTCTATACTTATAGCACATATTACTTTTACAATCAGGAAAAAAAATTACTTAAAAAAATTACAAGTTAGGTGAAATTGGCAGTGTACAATAATTATCTGTTCTCTTTTCCTCTAACAGAGATAATCAAAAGCTAACAAAAGCACACAATGGTTTTATTGAGTAAGAAAAGGAAAAGATAAAGTGTTCTAATAAAAATACTTTGCCCCTAAAATCCTGAAGTTCAAAGTTGAAATAAGGGTCAAAATTTATCACAATCAACATTTACCGTCTCCAATGGTCCTACTATGGTAGGAGGTGCATTCATCTATTAGCTTATTTGATCATTATAAGTCTGCTAACTTACATATCATTATCTCCTAAGAAATAAAATATTCAGAATGGTCTCTAAAACCCGAAAAGTTTGCAGGGCTCTACTAATGAACTTTAACACACTGAATAACATTTGGAAAGGCCTGTGGAAGAATGCACCAATGCCCAGTAGCCACAAAAGTTACAGTCCTCCAGCAGAAATTTGTGTGTCTTCACATCTAGTCTCAAGCGCATCAGAGGAGGTGTATCCATTTGAAAACGGTCAGAATAAAAGGATGGCAAACAGATTTTTGGTAGGACACTGCTAGCTAAAATTTCCATTTTAGGAACAGTAGTAGAATAAGTAACTCTCAAGGTCATGAACCTCAGTGTAAGAGGGGGTAAAAAAGACGTTTACTCACTAGGGTTATCTATATTTGAGAACACCAAGTCTGCTCCATCACCCACCACAGTAACAGGATTGCTCTGATACTCTAGGAACAATTCTCAGTGTCGGCATGTCAGAATTGACACTAAGCCCGCGCGAGAGCAGCACGTGTAAGCCATACTGTGTAACTTAGCATACAGTATAGACTGATCCCACAAGGAGGCAACATGAGGAAAAAAAAACTGGAGAAAGGAAAAATAGTTTTTAAGATCAGAAGAAAGAAATGAACTGTGAGTACCTAAGAAAAAGAAAAAAGACGTTAGCTTTCCTTACTGAGGTCGGAACCTTCTGTAACTCGCTACATTTCAGACCGACAGACACGGGATCACTTTTACTTCCTGGCTCACTTCTTCCGGGTTAACACTTGATCCCGGCTCCTCCTCCGTCTCGACCCTTCTCCAGAGGAGTCGTCCTTGGGTGTACATAACAATGAGCTAACGGAAGAAACAAAAGGGAAAAATGACAAAGCGAGAAAAATTCCCACAAGACGACCACGCAGCGTACTTATCTCGAGGGCGTGGGTTGCGATTTTGGGAGAGTGGGGGGCGGGGAGATGGAGGTTAAGGAGGGCGCCGCCGCAGTGTAGAATGAACTACGACTCCCAGGAGCTCTCACCCAGGAATCCTGGGAGTTGTAGTTTATCCCCCGGCAGGCGGCCTGCTCTCTGGGCCGAAGGTGGAGGGTTGGTTTTCAGTTTCAGACAAGCCCAGGACAGAGTCTCTACAGTTCTGTTAAGAGATCAAGATTTACAATATATTAATGTAAAATTACAAGAATTTCCTTATATATGGAGCCACTAAAGCAGTAGTTCCTGAATTTTTTTTTATTAGGACCCCCTTCTCATCATTTAAAACTTTCAGCGATTCTGCATATTAATAACTGTACTTTCAGCTTCCATTGCCTGAGAAAATAACTAATGACTAAATGAGACTATAAATTTGTATTTTTAAAAATCATAACGGGATCCAAAAGATAGGAGACTATATATATCCACAAGTTAGTGATTTTATAGATGTTGCATGCACATACAGAACTTAGGGGATCAACTTCAGTTCACAGCTTGTAAACCACTGATTAAATAAAGGATTAAAAAATCCAAATAATAACCAATTCCAGGAAAATGCAAACATATTGCCTTACTTTGAATATTCCAGTGGGATACAGCCCTTGGCGATCACATTCACAAGTCATTTGACCTCTGTGCCTCAATATTTCTTCCTGAAAAGCAAAGGCAAAATAATCTCATATTACTGAATTCACAGGATATTTTCTAAGGTTATGACCACATATATAAAAGGGAGAATTATCCATAAATGTAAATATCTACTTCTATGTATCTACTTCTACCTACTACATTTTAGATACTATTCTAAATGGTTTAAACCTGTTAATTCATTTAATCCTGACAACAACCCTAAAATACCCATTTTGCAGATGAGAAAACTAAGGCACAAAGAGTTTAAGTAACTTGTCCAAGGTAAAAGTAAGTAAGTGATAGTAAGTGATAGAGCCTAGATTCAATCAAGGCAGTCTGTCTTAAGGATCTGTGGCTCCTAAGCTCTGATAATACTGCCTCCGTCCTCCAAAAAAAATATATATATATATACACTGAGCACCAGTTATGTGCTACTCACTGTTCTAGACATGAGAATTTAACGATGAATAGAAAAGACAAAAATCTTTGCCCATATGGAGCTTATATTCCAATAGGGAACAAATTCCAGAGGACCCACATAAGTCATTTTCCTAAATTATCCAACAAAATCCTTTAATTCTGTATTTTGATTTGTGTATGTAGATATATAACTTAAGTATTATGTATAAAGCTTTATCCTCGTTAAAAAAAAAAAGACTTACTGCTATGGACTGAACTGTGTCCCTCCCAAATTCAGTATGTTGAAGCTAACCCCCAATGTGACTATACTCGAGATAGGGCCTTTAAGGAAGTGATTAAGGTTAAATGAGGTCATAAACATGGATCCCCAACCTGATAGGATTAGTGCCCTTATAAGAAGAGACACCAGAGAATTTATAAGGTCTCTCTCTGTCTCCCTCTCTCCCCCAACAGAGCACAAAGAGGTCATGTGAGCACACAGCAAGATGTCAGCCACCTACAAGTCAAGAGAAGAGGCCTCAGAATGAAACCCACCTTGCCAGCACCTTCATTTTGGACTTCCCAGCCACCAAAACTGTGAGAAATAAATTTCTGTTGTTTAAGCCACCAAGATGGTGTTTCATTATGGCAGTCCAAGCAGACTAAGACACTTACATATGTAAAAATTTATTGAAATATACATGAAACTTTATGCACTTTGTGTATGTTAGTCCTCAATTAAAAAAAAAATATCTGTAAAGACATTTATGCTTGGTACTATAAATACGGCTTCCTCCTCCATGTTTTTTAAGATAGAAAATAATGTGGCATATCTATATCTATTAATATGCAAAGATGTCCACAATATATTATTAAGTGAAAGAGAATGTTAAAAAAACTCAGCAAACTATTCCATTTAAAAAACATATCATGGGCCGGCCCCGTGGCTTGGTGGTTAAGTGCGCACGCTCCGATGCTGGTGGCCCCGGTTCGGATCCCGGGCGCGCACCGAGGCACCACTTCTCCGTCCATCCTGAGGCCGAGTCCCACATACAGCAACTAGAAGGATGTGCAGCTATGACATACAACTATCTACTGGGGCTTTGGGGGGAAAAAATAAATAAATAAAATCTTTAAAAAAAAATAAAATAAAATAAAATAAAATAAAATAAAAATAAATAAATAAATAAAAAACATATCTGAGGGGCCGGCCTGGTAGCGCAAGCGGTTAGGTGCGCGCACTCCACTGCAGCAGCCTGGGGTTCGCCAGTTCGGATCCTGGGCATACACCAATGCACCGCTTGGCAAGCCATGCTGTGGCGGCGTCCCATATAAAGTGGAGCAAGATGGGCATGGGTGTTAGCCCAGGGCCAGTCTTCCTCAGCAAAAAAAGAGGAGAATTGGCAGATGTTAGCACATGGCTGATCTCAAAAAAAAAAAAAACATATCTGAGGGGCCAGCCCAGTGGCGTAGCAGTTAAGTTCATGCGCTCCGCTTCGGTGGCCTGGGGTTCGCTGGTTCGGATCCTGGGCGCGGACCTACTCACCACTCATCAAGCCATGCTGAGGCGGCATCCCACATAGAAGAGATGCAACTCTACAACTATGATACACAACTATATACTGGGGCTTTGGAGAGAAAAAAGAAAAAAGAGGAAGATTGGCAACAGCTGTTAGCACGGGGCCAGTCTTCCTCAAAACAACAACAACAACAACAACAACAACAAAACATATGTGATGCATATATATTTAAAAGTCTGGTGGAATTATAAGTAATCTTTATTTTTCTCTTTATAGTATTCTAGATTTCCTGAGGTTTTGTGATGAGTATTATTATAAACAAGAAAGCTATAAAAGAAATAAAGGGGGCCGGTGCCATGGCATAATGGTTAAGTTCTGTGCGCTCTTCTTTGGCGGCCCAGGTTCACAGGTTCAGATCCCGGGCGCAAACCTATACCACTCATCAGCCATGCTGTGGTGGTGACTCACATACAAAATAGAGGAAGATTGGCACAGATGTTAGCTCAGGGCTAATCTTCCTCAGAAAAAAAAAATAACAAAGACATTCTTTAATCTTTGATTGAAAAACCTTACGGAAATTATTGTGAATAATAATATGGATAACTTCAGATTTCATATGAATCATTTTATGAAGTTAAGTAACTTCTACTTCCAAAGCATCTGATATATTACAGGATAAAAATTTCCAGAAATTGGGGCTGGCCCCGTGGCTTAGCTGTTAAGTGCTCGTGCTCCACTACTGGCAGCCCGGGTTCGGATCCTGGGCCCGCACCGACGCACTGCTTCTCTGGCCACGCTGAGGCAGCGTCCCACATACAGCAACTAGAAGGATGTGCAACTATGACATACAACTATCTGCTGGGGCTTTGGGGAAAAAAAGGAGGAGGATTGGCAATAGATGTTAGCTCAGAGCCGGTCTTCCTCAGCAAAAAGAGGAGGATTGGCATGGCTGTTAGCTCAGGGCTGATCTTCCTCACAAAAAAAAAAGAAAAATTTCCAGAAATAGTAATAAAAAAGGTTGATTCAGTGAAAAAAAAAAAAGCATTTGATTAAATTAGCAAGAAGAGATACCATGTCTGAAATAATTCTCACAATCAAGTCGACTATAAATAGTTTCTTTGTTGAATGAATTTGTAATGGGCACTGACAATTTGGTATCCCTTTGAGAAACTAAATGACTTGAGTCCCCCTCCTTTAGGGGGAGCCTTGTTCCACTTGGAGTAAGCTAAAACAACAAAATATGTGGAGCCATTTTTCAGATCTATTTAGAGCAAACTCAGCCCAAAACCCAAAGGGGTAGAGAACAGAGATTTTCACTTAGCTTCCTCTGAGAGACTTCCAGATGGTTTTAAAGATTGTGAGGACACTTGTGTCTGCAGTACTAACAGAAGGTTGACTTGTGTTGTGGACAGTGATAACAAAATAGAGTGACATATGTCGGGGCTTCTAAAATGGAGCTGGGAGGCCATCAAGGAAATGGGGCTTATGCACACACATCGCGTCTCTACCCAGATGGAATGTAACTTTTGAACTGTGCCTCACTGTTGTCATCTTGACCTTCTTTCAAGAAATATGCTTACTCCCATAGATAAGAACTTTTTGCCTTAGAGATGTCCTTAGCAACCAATCACGTCTAGCCAAGAAGTAACAGTTGTTGCCAGCACCAACCACCAATTTTGCAAAACAACCTGTGTAATTTCTCTCTTTTTGTTCTTATAAACTCTTGTGTCCTTTGTCTTCCTCGGAACACATTTTGGGTTTCTACCTGAATCTGTGTCTCCTGGATTGCAATTCTAATTGCCCAAATAAATATCTGCTGTTTGAGTTGTAGTGAATTTTTCCTGGTCCACAGTGTCCTTCTACAGGGATTCCACATCAATAAAGTGTCAGCTTAGGGCTTTCCCTGAGAGAGGCAGAGCACCAGGGCTTCCTGAGCCCCGGACATTCTTTGGGGAGCAAGACTGGGGTGGGTATAGAGACTGTTCCAGGCTAAGCTGAAACCTTTGGTCCCACTTGGGAAATTTTCAGAGGCACTGAAAGCAACATAAAATCCCAACACATGAGCCATAACACATTATGTCTCATAGCACACTATGAAGATGCACCTGGCTTTCTGGTTCCCTGGAGTTTAGGTTCCGGACCACATCTAGACACATCCCACAGTGTGAAGATTGGCAATGTCTTGGGATTTTAATCAGATATATTTTACTACAAAAAAAGTGAAATCAGGAATTATTTAGCAATTTAACACAAAATTCAAGCTTTCACTAAGGTGGAAAAGAAATAGCAAAACAAAGATTATTCTATTTGTATTTTTATAAACTGTTTTCCCTGAGAAAAGCAGAATACGAAGGATGAAAAGACAGCATTTCTT